GGCGTTGTTTTTTATAATTTATTATAAATATTAATATTATAAATTAAAACTAAATTTATTTTTATTTTTATTTAATATTAATATTATAAATTAATTTATTAATTAATAATTTTAGCTTAAAATAAATATTAATATTATTTTGTTTTTGTGCTTAAGATTTATTAATATTTTAATTTTAATTTAGCTTAAAATAAAATTTATTTTATTTTAATGTTTTTATTTTCAAATTTAAATAAATCTTATGATTGGTCTTTATTAAAATAATATACTAATTTTTATACAATAAAAAATATATTTAAATATATTTATGAAATTTATATAGATAAATTTAATAAAATATTTTTTTATAAAAAAAAAAGTTAATTAATTTATTAAATATATAGGGAGAGAATTTTGACCAATAAAATCAGTCAAAATATATAAAAAAATAAATTTTAAAAACAAAATAAGGACTCAATTTATAATTTTAAAATTTCAAATATTAAATATAAATTTCAAATTTTATAGCCGGAGTTCTTAATCAGTACCCACTACTCCTAACCGTTTCACATAGAAAATGTGAGCCCACGTCCTACCGTCCATTAGATAAGGGAGAAGTCACGCCCCCCAATGAGAGGGACTATCATGGACCTAGGAGGTACTTAGCACACTCCTATGTAAAATACCATATAGTCTCAGATAGCCATGCAGAAGTAGAAAGACACCGACCAGTATAATGAACTCTCAAAGTTTAAATGAAACGAGAGAACCAGAATATATGAAATTTGTAATTTAATCTAATTGTTGGTTTAATTTCGATTTTGTTTTATTTTCTATTTATTTATCAATAACTTAATTTTCAATTTGAAAACTATCTTTTAAAATAAAATTTTCTTACATATTTTTAAATGTTATTAAAAGTAAATAATAAAACAAATAAAAAAATGCGCATATAGAGACATTTTCTTTCTATAGCTTTTATATATATATATATATATATATATATTTTATTTAATGTGACATTGAAATTAAATTTGTCTTATACACCTAACATCTTTGTTAACTATGTAGCATTGTATTATTATTATTATTATTTTTTAATATATAGTCTTTCATAGTGAAAATTTGTCACATCTAATATAGTAATACGGATAAAATTATTGATAAATACTAAGCTATATAACGGGAATTACATTGTATATTGACTTTTCATCGATCTCCTTAAATATATAAACAAGACATGCCTCTTCTCTTTACTAAGGTTTATGTACGAGGTTGGACTAGATTCTAGCTTGCCTTATCAACAAAGTCTGTTAGAGGATAAACGATTATCTACTATGATGACGTAAGGTGTTCGTGGGCTGAATTGGGTCGAGTTTGACCGTTTTTTAGATCAAATCCAAATATTCGGGTTATAAATTTTTTCAACCTAAACAATTCTTATTAAATAATGAACACACTTAATCCAATCATAAAATCTTTCAGTTGGGTTAGTTTAAGTTGTTCAAGTCGCCACATTGGCTAATTTAGAGAATGATCATGGCTCGGTAAACAAATAATAGATTTTCATTGGTATGAGGCCTTTTCGGTAAGCCCAAAGTAAAGCCATGAGAACTTGTGTTCAAAGTGGACAATATCATCATTGTGGATATCCGTGATTCCTAACATGGTATCAGAGTCATACCCTAAACTTAGCCATGTCAATAGAATCCTCAAATGTCAAACAAAGTATTGTGAGTCTCGAACGTATAGTCAAAAGTGACTAAAGTAGGGTGCACTTTGTTCGAAAACTCCAAAAAAAGAGTCGAGCCTCAATTAAAGGAGGTTGTTCGAGAGCTCAATAGGCCTATGGTATCTACTTAATAAAAGTAAAAATATTAGTGTAAAATATTTATTTATTTATTTTTAAATATTTAATTAAGATTTACCGCTGATTTATGACTTTAATTGAAAATTTAATTATTAATTTTTTTTTAAATAACTTTAAATTCTAACATGTTATCAGGATCATGCCCTAAACTTAGCCATGTCAATAGAATCCTCAAGTGTCGGACAAAGGGTGTACTTTGTTCGAAGACTCCAAAAAAATGAATCGACCCTCGATTAATGGAAGTTTGTTCGAGGGCTCAATAGGCCTCATGAAAGACTCTATAGCGTACCTTGTTCGAGGGGAGGATTGTTGAGGATTGTTGGAATGGAGAATGATCATGGGGTTCGTAAAATATTTATTTTCAAATATTTAATTTAACTGAAAATTTAATTCTTAAATGTTTTTTTTTAAATAACTTTAAATTCGACATGTTATAGTTGAGGAAACTAATGTAATCAATATTCATTATTTAAAGCTTTAAACCAATTTAATTTAACTTAATTTAATTGCAGTTCACCTTTGACGTGGAGCCGTTAGATGGTTGTAGTTTGTCCGTTAATTGATGACGTGTCAGGTGCACACGGCATTTGGGCTCCTCCACGCGTACAGATCTCGAACTCGTGGCGTCGGTGGCCTTTTTTATTTTACTTTTTAATCCATTTTAAAATATAATAATAATATTATTATTATTATTTATTACACAATATTTAATCTATATTGTACTTATTTATTAATAATCATTTAAAAGATTTATTAAAAATATAACAAACTAAATAAATCAAATATATGGATCAAAAGTTTTATTATTATTGTTATTACGTCCTTTTTCCATATAAAATAATATAATTAATTCTCGTAAAATAATCTCTGGGACTATATGTAAAGTTTTATTAAACCATACGAACAAAATTATAATTTTTAAAACTTTACGAATTAAATTTTAATTTTCTCTAAACTACTGAATTTGTAATTTAGCTGATAGATAATATAAAATAACATCTGGGACCCACGATGAAAATTCATAAATTAATAAAATATGTGATGTCCTACATTGGTTGGGAAGGAGAACAACCCACCCTTGCTACCCTTTACAAGGGTGTGGAAACCTTTTCCTAGCAGACGCGTTTTTAAGCCTTGAGGGGAAGCCCAAAGAGGACAATATTTGTTAGTGGTGGATCTGGGGCGTTACAAATGGTATTAGAGCCAGACATCGGACGATGTGCTAGCCTTCTCGCTCTTCCCCGAAGGGGGGTGGCACGAGGATGCTGGGCCTCGAAGGGGATATGTCCCGCATTTTAAAGCCTTGAGGGGACGCCCGAAAGGGAAAGCTCAAAGAGGACAATATCTGCTAACAGTGGATCTGGGCTGTTACGATTGGAGGAAGGAAAGAGTGTCAGCGAGGACGCTAGGCCTCGAAAGGGGTAGATTGTGATGTCTCGTGTTTTAAAGCCTTAAGAGGAAGTTCGAGGGAAAACCCAAAGAGGACAAATATTTGCTAGCAGTGGATTTGGTCCGTTACGAATTTATATGATTTTGTATTAAAAAAAAAAAAATGTTATAGGGGTAATAATGTAATTTGATTTTGCTAGTTTTCTTCAATGCTAAGTTGCTCACACGTTAAGATAAAAATACCTAAAAAGTATTAGGCGAGATCCATTGCAATATAGATCCAAAAATTGTGCAAGTCAACCCTTTATTAAATTCAATTTTATTTCATTTTTTTAAGTTTATAATAAAAATATATATCGAGAATTTTAATTTTTAGATGCGTGAATTTTTAGTGAGCTCGGTTCTATGGTCGGTTTGCGACCCCTGGATACCGAAGGTGTCCTTGGGGTGATCTTGTAGTTCCTACAGGTGGAGACGATGGGGTTGCACTTGTCACAATCGCACTCTTGATGGTAGCGGACTTGCGATTGTGCGACACTCACTTTGCAACGGCAAGTGAGCTAAGTCAATTCGTTCTTACGTCGTCTACGGCCAAACGACGTATGCTCGAGCCTCTGGCTTCGGTTTAAGAAGGTTTTAGAAAACGAGAGCAGAGAGAGATTTTTGAAAAAGAGATTTTGAAAGAAACGTTATATATACAAGCAAGAGAGTAACAACAACGGTTCACAGTATATAATTATTGATAGAGAGAAGTTGACAACTAATTATATTCTCAGTACATTATGAGTCATTTCATGTCTGTCAAGTCTAGGCATGATTGTCCTGAAACGTCGTAGTTCCTAAAAAATTCTGAGGCATTTCATGTCTGTCAAGCTTAGACATGATTTTTCCGAAACGTCATACTAGAAATACAGAAGTAAAATACTATGACCATCGCATCCTCCTCACCTAATTGGTTGATAGTAAATAATTTTTACCTGATTTTTTTTCTTCCAATTTACTAGTTAATTTAAAATTATTAATTGATTTTATTAAAAAAAAACTAAAGTATATTATGTTTGGTCAAATGTGCATTAAATGTAACAGAAACCTTAATGTCTAATTAATCTTAAATTTCATTAATTTGAAAGCCTAAACTTTGGACCTTAACCTAAGCTACTTTTGTATTATTATTATTTTTATTTATATTATTGATAAACAAAATAATAATAATAAATAAATTTCAAAATAATTTCTAAAAAATAAAAAATAAAAAATAAATAAACTTCCATATGTTTCCAGATATTATTTATTTTCTACAAATATAATTTAGTTGGCTAAAATATTATATATCTAACAAAAAAAAATAATAGCCTAAGCCCACCGCTAGCTGATATTGTCGTTTTCTCTTTCGGGCTTCCCTTTAAAGTTTTAAAACGTATCCGTTGGAGAGAAGTATCCACCTCCAATGTTTCGTTCCCCTCTCCAAACGATGTGGAAACTTTCCAACATTCTCATAATCTACTAGTCCAGCGTCCTCGCCGGTAATTCTACTCTCCAACTAACGTGGGATCTCACAATATCAGATTTTAACTTTCAAACTCGTTACCTCTGCGCTAAGCTCACTCAGTTCAGCCTAATTCTAAAAAAAAACATATATATATATATATATATATATATTTATTTATTTATTTTTAAGGTTATTTTTTAAATAAAATTTTGGAAAAATAGGTGGACTAGTTTTTCAATTAAATAAAATAATAATAAATGCAAAAAAAACGAGTCCGGCAATCGGCAGGCCCCAGAAACGGAAATTTTTTTTTGCTCGTTATATACGGACGTTTCGCCTTTCTACAGAGTTGTCTCTTCCGCCATAGCAATTTCTTCGGTTTCCAAATCTTGCCTTCTTCCTCCATCTCTGCAGCCGCTGCTGTTCCCCATTTCCCTTCTCGTGGGGGATCGTTCAGATCTCTGTACAAAGGTTAGTCGGTTCATTTCTTGCAAAAGATTTCGAGGCATTTTGATTTAACTTCCTCGTTTTTTCTATTTCCATCCCTAATTTTTTGTAGTATTTGTTCTTGAATTCATTACGAATTCGATTAAATCATTGTCTATTTGCTTGTTTTGATTCGGCATTGATATTTCTTGAATCTGGGGTTTTCAGATCCGATTCAAATCGAATATGGGTCTGTCGAGAATGAAGTTGTTAAGTCGATTTCGGATCTTGGTTTTAGCTTGTTCTTTGATTTTTCAACTCGGATATGGATTTTACCTTCCTGGTAGCTATCCCTACAAATACGTTGTGGGCGACTTGTTGTCGGTGAAGGTTAATTCTCTTACTTCTATCGAGACCGAATTGCCATTTGGATATTATAGTTTGCCGTTTTGTAAGCCTAAAGAGGGTGTTAAGGACAGTGCCGAGAATCTTGGTGAGCTTCTGATGGGAGATCGAATTGAAAATTCGCCTTACCAGTTTAAGATGTTTACGAATCAGACGGATATTTTTACGTGTTCTTCAGGTCCATTGACATCTGATCAATTTAAGATCATGAAGGAGAGAATTGATGAAATGTATCAGGTTAATTTGATTCTTGACAATTTACCTGCGATCCGTTATACTCAGAAGGAAGGCTATGTTCTGCGGTGGACTGGTTATCCAGTTGGGGTTAAGGTTAAAGATGCTTATTATGTGTTCAACCATTTGAAATTCAAGGTTCTTGTTCATAAATACGAGGAGGCCGATATGGCTCGCGTAATGGGCACTGGTGATGCTGCTGAGTTGATCCCGACGATTGGGAAAGAGGGATCTGATATTCCTGGATATATGGTTGTTGGGTTTGAGGTGGTTCCTTGTAGCGTCGTGCACAATATCGAACAGGTGAAGGACTTGAAAATGTACCAAACATATCCTAATGCGATACAGTGTGATCCGTCCACCGTATCGATGCCGATCAAGGAAGGAGTGCCTATTGCTTTTACATATGAAGTTATGTTCGAGGAGAGTGATATCAAATGGCCATCTAGGTGGGATGCTTATCTTAAGATGGAGGGATCCAAAGTCCATTGGTTCTCAATCATGAATTCGATGATGGTGATTACTTTCCTTGCTGGTATTGTTTTTGTTATCTTCTTGAGGACTGTTCGGAGGGATCTGACTCGGTATGAGGAGCTCGACAAGGAGGCTCAAGCACAGATGAATGAGGAGTTATCTGGCTGGAAACTTGTTGTTGGTGATGTCTTTAGAGCTCCCTCGAATTCGTCACTCTTGTGTATCATGGTTGGTAATGGGGTTCAGATTCTTGGAATGGCAGTTGTGACGATATTATTTGCAGCCCTCGGATTCATGTCGCCAGCGTCTCGTGGAGCCCTCATTACTGGTATGTTGTTTTTCTATATGATTCTCGGCGTTGCAGCTGGTTACGTCGCTGTTCGTTTGTGGAGGACAATGGGTTGTGGTGACAACAAAGGTTGGATTTCTGTCTCATGGAAGGTCTCTTGCTTCTTTCCTGGTATAGCCTTTTTGATCTTAACCACTCTGAACTTCCTTTTATGGGGAAGTCATAGCACTGGAGCCATTCCATTTTCCCTTTTTGTTATTCTGCTCTTGCTCTGGTTCTGCATATCGGTTCCACTTACGCTCGTTGGGGGTTACCTCGGGTCCAAAGCGTCTCATATCGAGTACCCGGTTCGTACTAACCAAATCCCTCGTGAAATCCCTGCTCAGAAATATCCATCCTGGTTGTTAGTTCTTGGTGCTGGCACTCTTCCTTTCGGAACGCTATTCATCGAGCTGTTCTTCATCATGTCTAGTATCTGGATGGGTCGTGTGTACTACGTTTTCGGGTTTCTCTTCATTGTCTTGGTCCTTCTCGTGGTGGTTTGCGCCGAAGTATCTTTAGTTCTTACCTACATGCATCTGTGTGTGGAGGATTGGAAATGGTGGTGGAAGTCCTTCTTTGCATCTGGTTCGGTTGCCATATACATCTTCTTGTATTCCATTAACTATCTGATCTTCGATCTCAAGAGCCTGAGCGGACCGGTCTCTTCGACCCTTTACCTCGGATACTCCCTTCTAATGGTGTTTGCGATCATGCTCGCAACCGGTACGATCGGGTTTCTTTCCTCATTCTGGTTTGTTCATTACTTATTCTCTTCAGTGAAGTTGGATTGATGGAGTTTCTTAGAAACAGCAGAAGATCAGTGGCAGGCAGTTTAGTAGAATTGTATGGATTGTTTGATTATTATGATATGAAATGATATGATATATTAGTTTTCGTCGATTCATTTCAACGCTTGCGACGACATGAATAATACCGTCCCGTTTTGATGTATTTTCTTTGTGTTTTAAGGGAGAGATTGTTGCCTGGATTATGATATGATACAATACAAATAGATTTTCATTTGCATTCTTAGATGTTTTAATGGTAGTTTGTAACACAAATTATGTGGGGTTTTATTAGTATACGTAAACTTCATTTCACTTGTCCTTTTATATATTTGATTCATTCCTAGGTCTGTTACAGTGTTTATGTACTTCAATTGAGTTAAATGAATCAATGTTCTCGTATCGATTGAATATTTATGTGAGATCCCGCATCAGTTGGAGAAGGGTTTTGAAACCTCTCTCTATTAGATGCATTTTAAAATTGTGAGGTTGATTGTGATACGTAATGAGCCAAAATGAACAAAATATCTATTAGCGGTGAGTTTGAACTCTTACAAATGGTGCCAGTGACTATGTTGGCTCACTAGGACTAAAGTGGACAATATCTATTAGCGGTGAGTTTGGACTCTTACAAATGGTATAGTAACTATGTTGGCTCACAAGGGGGTGGATTGTGAAATCTATAAGAGTGTGTTTCCAATCACTATGTCTTGGAGAGGGGAATGAAGCATTTTTTATAAAGGTGTGTAACTTTCTCCCTATTAGATATGTTTTAAAACCGTAAATCTGATGATGATACGTAACGGGTCGAAACGGACAATATCTACTAATGGCAGACTTGAAAACCGTAAATCTGATGGTGATACGTAACGGGTCGAAATGGACAATATCTATTAATAGTGGACTTGAGCGGTTACAATTTAGCTCGTGAATTTCAAACCCTTCAAGATAATAATCTACCAATCGGTGATCCATATATTTTTTTTTCATATTAAAATTATTTTCTATTCTATCTTTAAAATAAAAAAATAAAAAAATCTACGTATTCATTAAATTTTTTTTTTATTGTTATTTTTGAAATAAAGTATTAACAGGAGGAGGAGAAAGACTGACTTTGAATTTTTTAACTGATTGGTCTCCTCCATCGATCCCTATCCCTACTGGCCATTCCCCACTTATCTGTTTGTCGAGCGCGCGGGTTCATCCACATCCTCTAACAACATCACGATTCTCTCTTCAAATTTTCCCGGAAAATTCCTCCCATGGAGCTTCCTCAATCCTCTCTTTGAACTCCGCCACTAAAATCCCTTCACCCAATTCCACTCCCAGTTGCAGATTCTGCAACTTTCATGGCCTAATCAGAGCACAAACCAAGCAACAATGGTGCCCACTTCATTTTGTTCCCTTCAATCCAGCAATGTCTCTTCCACCCCTTCCATCTCGCCTCTTTCCATATCTTCTCTCGCCTCTTCTTCTTCTTCTTCTTCGTGTTCCTCTCTTTATCTTCGACCATCCTCACTTTTCTCCACTCGCCTTCGCTCTTCCTATGTCTTTGGTGACCTCCATTTGAAGCGAAGCCCTGAATTTAAGGTTTAATTTCTGGATTTCTGGATTTCTGTTGTTGAGTTTCGCTCTGTGATTTGAGATTGTGTGTTTGCTAGGGACTGAAGGTGAAATGTGCAGCTGGGGAGCCGCTGAAGGTTATGATATCAGGTGCGCCGGCCTCCGGTAAAGGAACTCAGTGTGAGTTGATTGTTCAAAAGGTAATTGAAGTTCTTAACTGATTTGTGGTGATTCTGAACATGAATTATTCAACAAGAAGGAAATCTTATCAGTTACCAGAACAAGAAATTTTAATTTCCCTGATAATCTGATTGTAAACTCTAAAGTTCAAGATAGTTCTAGAACTGGCACATGGAATTTCTCATAGAATGTTTCTCTTTTAAAAACAAAGCATCATATGTAGTGTGCTTCCTTCACTGATTTCTCTTCATTCTTCAGTTTGGCTTGGTGCACATATCAACTGGCGACATATTAAGAGCAGAAATTTCAGCTGGGACAGAAATTGGCAATAAAGCAAAAGAATTCATGAATTCTGGACAGCTTGTTCCTGATGAAATTGTGACTGCTGTACGATGTGGATCTAAGCTCTTTCTAGCTTGAATGTTACTTTCTTGTTTGTGCAATATTCATGTAATGAGCTTATTTTGGTTTGTAGATGGTTACGACACGGTTATCAGGTGAAGATGCAACCGAGAAGGGGTGGCTCTTAGATGGATTTCCACGAACCCTTTTGCAAGCTGAAAGTTTACAGAAGTTGCAGATTAAACCAGATATTTATCTTATTTTGGATGTACGTACACTGCATACTAATATCCTATGTTGAGGCTTTAGTGTTTTGTTTTTGGTGGTGGTGAAAAAGTTGCATAAAGGATTTAATGAACCTAAATTGGAAAGTTCTTGGCACCCTCTAGAATTAGTTCTTATATGATGTTTTTCATGCATCCATTATTGAAGATTGTTGGGAGGGAGAGTCCCACGTTGGCTAATTTAGGGAATGATCATGGGTTTATAAGTAAGGAATACACCTCCATTGGAATGAGGCCTTTTGGGGAAGCTCAAAGCAAAGTCACAAGAGCTTATGTTCAAAGTGGACAATATCATACCATTGTGAAGGGTCGTGATTCTTAACATCCATGAAGCAATCATTTTGCAAGTTATCTTGATTAAATCTGTAACTGATGGTTGAAGTTTGTGCAAGTTTATAGGGGTGGCGTTTTATATGTTAATCACACAAGAAGTTGGCTCTTGTGTTGAGTAAATTCAAATTTCTTCTTCAGTTTATCAGTGAGGTCAATAATGAACTTTTTTTTTTTTTTTTTTTTGTGTTTAGATAATCATTTCTGTATTTATATTTGATTTACATTTCTAATACTCAGGTTCCTGATGAAATTCTAATCGACAGATGCGTTGGTCGAAGGCTCGACCCAGAGACGGGGAAGATTTACCATCTGAAATATTTCCCCCCAGAAACAGAGGAAATTAAAGGAAGACTTGTCACTCGACCTGATGATACTGAGGAAAAAGTTAGCTATTTCTAAGAAATTGTTCAAATATTTTCAGAAAGCGATTCTAGACTTGTTTTTGCTTGTCTAACTGGCTTGCTATAGGCTTGTTTTGGGGTTTCTAACGTTTATTTTATGTGATTTCTGTTTAGGTGAAGCAGCGTTTGGAAATTTACAAGCGTAATGCAGAAGCAATAGCACCAGTGTACTTGAGTATTACAAAGAAGGTAGTTTATTATGCGTTCTTCTCATACATATCTATGTCTATATGTCTATATCCTCTGTTTAATTCCAGCGTTTATTTCTAACTCTGTTCTTCTGTGCATATTAAATTCTGTGAATCTAGATTGATGGAAGCCGTCCTAAAGAAGAAATTTTTGAAGAAATATCATCATTACTATCACAGATTCAAAAAGAAAAGGCTAAGAAGTTAGGTAATTGTTTGTGTTCTCATGGAATTCATTAAAAATGTTTACTGGATAGTTTAGAAATTATAAGTTTAGATTTAATGTCGACGCCTGACGCTTTGAAAGGTTCGACCTGGTCTTACTAGGACATTTCTTTTCCATATAAGAGAAGCTATATCTGGATTGAGTTTTATTTTTATAATTTTCAAAATCTCCCCCTGCATTTCTTGTGTATTAGGGAAATCAACCCTTGGATTGAAGAGTACTTCAACTCAGGTATGCTCTGTATGATTGAGAATAGGAAACTTGAATTGTTCGTTATTTTCCCAAATTCACGTGTTCGTAATAGACACTATAATAAGGTTCCCTCAAGTATATAAGCTGATATTTGATATTATAACAAGAATCCTTCAAATATATAGGTTCCCTTAAAAATGTTTGATATTCTCTTTTTACAGGATAGCTGGAGAGGGATACCAACTAGATTGAATAACATTCCTCACTCAAGAGAAATCAGGAAATATTTTTATGATGATGTGCTTGAAGGCACCAAACGCGCTGTAAAAGATGGTAGAACTAGATTAAAGGTTTGGTGTTAACCTTATTGTTATTCACACAAGATTATTGTTAGGTCCCGCATCGATTGGAGAGGAAAACGAAACATTCCTTTTAAGGAAGTGGAAACCTCTTTGGGCTGACGGCGATACGTACCGGGCTAAAACAAACAATATCTGCTAGTGGTGGGCTTGGACTGTTACGAATGGTATCAGAGCCAGTCACCAAACAGTGCGAGGCATTGGTTGGTGTAACTTCTGAGGCTGATCATTTTTGTTTGTTTTGAATCTCAACGAACAGGTGGAGATTAATATTCCAGAGCTTAACCCTGAAATGGTAGGAAGCTTACTCCTCCTGATTCTCCTAAAAACGATCTGAGTTAACCGCGTCTGCAATGCACAGGATGTCTATCGAATAGGTACTCTCATGGAACTTATTCGGACCATTGCCCTTTCATTTGCTGATGATGGAAAACGTGTCAAGGTAATTTCTCTGATTTCCTTCAAGATCGGAGTGCTCGTGTCCACCATCTGAAACTTCATCTCCTAGGTATGCATTCAAGGATCCATGGGGGAAGGTGCACTTTCTGGAATGCCGCTGCAGCTTGCTGGAACTCGGAAAATCTTAGAATACATGGACTGGGGCGAATATGGGGCTTTGGGGACCTTTGTCAAGATCGGTTCAATTGGTACTGCACTCAATTTTTGAAAGATTCGTTTGTGCATCTTTAGTTTGCTTGCACCTGCATGTTAATCGTCCCATGTTGGCTGGGGAGGAGGAGAACAAATCTCCATTATAAGGGTGTGGAAACCTTCCCTTAGTAGACGCGTTTCAAAGCCTTGAGGGGAAGCCCGAAAGGGAAAGCCCAAAGAGGATAATATCTGCTAGCGGTGGATCTAGGTCGTTATAAATGGTACCAGAGCCAGACACCGGACAATGTGCCAGCCTTCTTGCTGTTCCCCAAAGGGGGTAGACACGAGGCGGTGTGCCAGTAAGGACGCTGGTCCCATAGGGGGATGAATTTGGGGGTAGTCCCACATCGATTGGAGGAAGGAAAGAATGCCAGCGAGGACGCTGGGTCCCGAAGGGAGGTGGATTGTGATGTCCCACATTGGTTGGGGAGGAGAACAAATTACCAGTTATAAGGGTGTGGAAACCTTCCCCTAGTAGACGCGATTTAAAGCCTTTAGGGGAAGCTCGAAAGGAAAAACCCAAAGAGGACAATATCTACTAGCGGTGGATCTGGGTTCTTACCGAAAAAGATGAACTTTCCTACATAATTCCTCAATGATTTCCTTCAAGACTTCTCCATAATAGCCAAAAAACAGTACATATTCATGTTGGTTCATACCTTTCTATTCTTGCATTATAAACGTCTCTGTTTGAATATCACCTTTAGACTGTCTAACTTACAATGAATTTCCTCATTCGTGTGTAAAAGATTTTGCATTTGATATAGACTTTACAATATTTGTTCCAACTTGACGTTCAGATCTTTCATATTCATTTCTAATTGCAGGTGCAAAAGAAGTTGACGAGCAAGATGACATGTTTATTTTAGTGGCTCCTCAAAATGCTGTTGGAAATTGTATCATTGATGTAAGTGACATCATAAGATTTTGTCGACTCTGTTTAATAGGAAAATGGAACTGTTTGATTAAGGATGAAGCTTTGTGAAGATAATGATGTCAAGTAAATGCAGGATATGAAAGCTATGACAGATGCAGCTGGTGACCGACCTGTTATTCTTGTAAATCCCAGACTCAAGGCAAGTTTCTAAGTGATCCTAAGTTGGTATGATTTAATTTGCTGATAGGAACACTGTCCTAACTTCTAGGCACCTGTAACCAAAACAAATCACGTGACAAGAAATAAATCCTGAGGATATGATAGAAGCCCCAATTAAGAAAAATACTATCTTTCAGTCTTCATTAGTACTTCCATTTGACAATAATCATAGTTGAATAGTACTGTACTGGTTTTATAGCAGATAGCAAATTCTGTGGGTGGAGGTGTAACAATCCAAGTCCACCGCTAGTCGATACTGTTCTCGTTGGGCTTTCCCTCGAAGTTTTTAAAATACATATGCTAGGGAGAGGTTTTCACGCCGTTATCAAGCATGTTTTATTCTCCTCTCCAACCGATGTGAGATCTCACAATCTAACTTTTCAGGCTTCCCCTCAAAGTTTTTAAAACGCGTCTACTAAGAGAGGTTTCCATGCCCTTGTAAAGAATGTTTAATGCATCTATTTAGAGGCGGTTTGGTTTAACCTATCTCTTTAGGTGTTGGTTTACTAGGACTTCTTAATTACTAGTTAGGTCTTACCTTTCTGGATTGAAACCCTTTTGTCTAGATCGTTAGGTTGGTTGGGCTGTCTGTTCATATGGAAAGCTCGATTTTCCATCAAAAGAAATGGAAGACGAGTAAAAGTCGAGACACCCAACAAACACATGAAACACAGTTTCTCACCAGTAGCTAGTTGTGGAACAAGGTGAACAAGAAAAAATCATATAGATGTGGCAATTCTTGTAGTACACCAATTACATGTCCTCTCTTCATAGTACAGCTTTGATCATTCCCTTCATGTAAAAATGCAGGACCTTCATGCTGCTACTTTTTAGTTGTTCATCGTATAACTTGACTTTAACTTATTTCAATTTTCAGGATTTACCTGGTTCGAGTGGTATCATGCAAGTGAGTATTAAAAAAATCAATTGGAGTTACTTCTGAGTATAATACAGTTCTAATCCTTCCCATCCTTATTAGACGATGGGCCGTGACAAGAGGCTGGAGTATGCAGCATCATTCCAAATCTGTTACTTCTTTCGGCTTCTCTATTATGCAGGAACGCAGTATCCAATCATGGGAGCTCTCAGGTAAAATAAAACACCAACAAATGTAAGATCTTCAATGATTTCCTTCCACTAGTGTTCGAATCAAAATCCATCTTCTACCATTAGTTAAGATACAACCATGATCATGCTTTGATCCACAATTGTTTGTTTTAGGATGTCTCACCCTTATGGTTATGAGCTCTATAGAAGGGTGGATGAACCTTCTGGGAAGGAAAGGTATGTCCTCCTATCCAAGTATCCCACCAGGCCGTCCACTGATGATATCAATGATGCCTTCCAAGGAAAAGAAAGGTAAGATGAAGAACAAAAAAATAAGAACACTACATCCTTGAACTTTATTACCAAAATCTGCCGCTTGATCTAATCACTGCAATTACATTTCAAATACTTGCAGAAATGCAGAGAAGAAATCATCTGGAATCTGGTAAGAACATATACCCCTGTAACGTGAAATGCTAGTTGCTCTTTGTTAATCAGCCCAGATTCAATTCAATTTTTGACTAATTCAGGGGCTTCCTGAGTGGCATCTTTTGAGCTTATGAAGATGATATCTTCGATTGGAACATGTCAACCAAAGGAACCAAGCAGCCATGGAGTGACATGCAAGTAGATTCTAGGCACAACCCATGTACAGAGAAGGTAAGGAAATACTACGTTTATACAATCAAATCTGTTTGAAGAAACAAAGCAAAGATACAAAGAACTACAAATTCTGGGTACCTAGCATAGTCAAGGCAATATCTAAGAGCTCCTAAAAGGAAAACCCACACCAAATTTAAAAGCTAACCAAGCCACCAACAAAGATTACCAACTACTACAATGAAAACGCTCAAAGCAGACAATATATTCTATGAGAAAGAAAAAGCAGCTAAACCCTAATTGATCTGAGTTATAGTAAACCTAGAAGAACTGTCATGTTGCTTCACTTCAGCCAGTTCATCTGCTCGCAACTCAAGCATCTTCCTGTTGAAAAAATAAAGGGAGATGCCGAGGTATACCGAACAATCGCCATCGAAAAGAGCACATCACTTCATATTCTATCATTACTACACCCTGGAGTAATCAAATCATACCAAACCAAACCAAACCCAAACACCATATTCTGGATTGTTCACTTCTGTGGCTCCGATGTGATCGGTCCAAATCAAGTGACCAAAACCCATATTATTCTGGATTGTTCACTTCTGTTGCTCCGACGTGATCAGTCCAAATCAAGTCGCAACAACCGCCGCAGATCGTTAGTTGCAGTACCGTTCTTACCTAAAAAGGACGGCAAGGGCACTGAACTCGGAGGCGGCGAAGCAAAGAACGCACCCGATCCAGCATAGATCCCATCGGCAACCTTCAATTCCGAAAATACAACCTGCTTCTGCATCAAATCAGGGTCTGGACCCAACCGATCAGTCGATCCCAAAACCAAATCCAAATCCTCAACCTTCGATTCCAACATCCTCTTACCACCATCACCAACACCTCCATCGGGACACAACATCTCTCCACGCTTCAAGATCTTGACTTGTCCCATAACCAGATTCTTCGGTGAAATCTTCGCCGCCGTGGACGTCTCTACCACCCGACTCCGACCTCTATTCACTCGACGGTTAGCCTTAACTCCCACTTCCGAACTCCGCCGCCTACCGGAACAAGTCGCATCATCCTGATTAAAATTAGGGTTTGCAGAAGAAGAACTAGAACTAATACGGTTAGAATTCCGCCGCGATTTCAAAGGCGGAGACGACAGAACCAAACCTTGGTGGCGTAACCCGTTCCCAAGGCAATCCTGCGGCTGAAGGATCACGGTAGTAGCCATATATCTTCAGAATCACAAAATCCAAAAGAAAAAAATTGAAGAAAGGAGAGAGAAACAACAAAGCAAACAAGAGAGAGAAAGAGAAGAACAAAACTTTTTCTTCACCGTCTTCCTTCTTAGAACAGAGACATTTGAGGGATGCATAATCGGAACTTGAAATGTGGTTTATATAGACATTTCTCGTGAGGGTTTTCGCACGTACCACACGTGTGATCGTGAACCGCCTTAGTGGGTATGACGTGGGTTACCCGTAGTTGATATAGATGTGTCACGGACGAATTTCATTGGTACGGTTAATTAATTTCCTTCTCCATGTTTAATATATATTTTGAAGTTTCAAACGACATCGTTTTAAAATTAACTCAGAAGGAGGGTTAGGTTAACCTGTGGCTAATTTGTAATTAAGGAAGAAACGGAGGACAAACTTGCAAAATAAAAAATATTAAAAAAGGTAAAGCCACGCCTGCAAGAAAAGAACCGCGCTTGTCGTGATGTTCGTAGAAAGCTCCTGATCTTGCCACGTGTTGGTTCGAGTCAACTGAACCGACTTTGGTTTTTTTTAATGGATGTATCTTTTTGAAGATATTTTCCATATTTTAATTTACATATGAGCTTATAATAAAATAAAATATTTTATGCATAGTATTGGGATACGGTATCAGATATCGCTATGATTAGTATGAACGTGTACGCTACAATATTATGATACGGTATTGTGTACACCACAATACTATGCACGCTCCCTTCCCTTCATGGTATACCGACAGCGCGAGTGTTCGTTAGTCAAAGGCTAGGACTAGGAATGTGTGTATACATGGTCCGTGTGTAGAGAAGTACTATGCATTCAATTTTACCCAGACTAGAAGTATTGACCAAGGTCATGTAAAGCCCCTATGCATGGATGACGATGTCGTGATGACAGCCAAGTCGAAGGCTTGGACTAGGAATACGTATTCGAGCTTGCCTAGGGTTCCATGTGTGTATATATAGTCCGCATGTACATAAATACTATGCATTCAATTTTACCCAGATTAGAAGTAGAGACCAAGGTCATGTAAAGCTCCTATGCACGGATAACGACGTCGTGATAACAACCAAGTCGAAGGCTGGGACTAGGAATACGTATTCGAGCTTGCCTAGGGTTCCATGTGTTTATATATGGCCCGTGTGTAGAGAAGTACTATGCATTCAATTTTACCCAGATTAGAAGTAGAGACCAAGGCCATGTAAAGTAGATGCACGGATGACAACGTCGTGATTACAACCAAGTCGAAGGCTAGGACTAGGAATACGTATTTGAGCTTGCCTAGGGTTCCATGTGTTTATATATGACCCGTGTGTAGAGAAGTACTATGCATTCAATTTTACCCAGATTAGAAGTAGAGACCAAGGCCATGTAAAGCGGATGCACGAATGACAACGTCGTGATTACAACCAAGTCGAAGGCTAGGACTAGGAATACGTATTCGAGCTTGCCTAGGGTTCCATGTGTTTATACATGGCCCGTGTGTAGAGAAGTACTACGCATCCAATTTTTCCCAAACTAGAAGCATAGACTAAGGCCATGTAAGCTCCTATACACGGATGACGACGTCGTGATGACAGCCATCTAGGGTAGATGCATCTACATTGGTTAGATCAAAACGAATACTTTATTTTCATTGTTTTATTTTAATTCGTGTTATTTATTTTCTGCCGCATTACAATGAACGTGTAAGTCTGTAACTTCGTTATGAAAGGTTTCTTTTAAATGAATGTCTTCTCGTGTAACAGTCATGTCATATATACATCAACGACCTTATTTTTAATAGAAAAACAGTGTCATATATTTTTGTTTTACGCCCTATAATTCTTTTTTGTTTTACGTCCCGTAATTCTTCCTCAGCCAGGCTTCGGCAGAATAGCAGAGCAAGTACTAGTATTAGTAGAATAGTAAAAATGTGTTCCTCGTCATTAATATGTTTGCTCGCAGTAATTGTGATCTTTCGGGAGAATCAATGACGGCTAGTACTAGTACATCTGAGAATTCTTAATTGGCTAGTTATAAATAGACCCAGACTGTGGAACAAAGGATTATCTCAGACTTATACCAAGGTATTGACGGTGATTCTCAAATATCACAGAACAGAATTTGATACGATAAGATAGAATGCAATAGAAACAAAGACACAGGGAACGGAACAGGTTACCTACTCTTAACGGTCAAAGCAAACCCTTTCATTTCGAATTAAAGAATTGGGAATGAATCAAATCTCCCGGTCTCTTAAATTAAAATTTTAGAATTTTTAAAAAGAAAAGATAAGCATAACTCAATGACACGCATTCTATTAAAAGGTAAAAATAAATAAATAAATAAAGTATTAATTTCAAATTAAAAAAAAAAGAGAGAAAGAAATCAATTAATTAGCCTTAAAAAGAAAAGAAAATAAAGAAGAATGACGTATTTATTTTCCAATAACAAATAAAAATAATGGTTTACACGTAGGAGAGATATAAATGTAAATAATTTATTTACCCATAAATAATGGGTCCACGACGCCACGTAGTATTTAATTCCATAAATTTATTGAGCAAAAAAAGGAAATGAAAGAGGATTATGTGGCGATCCATCCGCCGACCAAAAGACGTGGCCGACCTATCTGTCAAATCTACCTCTATAATAAATAAATGCTAAATTAATAAAAATATCTTTAAATTTATATTTTATTTAAAAATATCTTTACTTTTTAAAATTTCAATAATAGTCACTAACATCCTTAAAGTTTTTTAAAAAATATTTTTACCTGTTATTTTAATTTTTTTTAAGTTAAAAAAAATTCCTTTTTTTTTTTGTTAATATTATATTTAAAAAAATCAAAAGACCACAAACCAGTGTTAATTTTGAGAATTTATTAATATTTTTGAAATACGGTAGCCGACCCCAAAATTATTTATGAGGTTTTTAAAAAAAGTTTGAGGTGATATATTTTACCAAAAAATTTAATAATTAATCAATTATTTTTCAAAGATAAATTGATGGACATACCGATGAATATTGTAGCTTGTGGTGCTAAAAGATGTTCACTTCTCGTGTGAAAGAGCCACTCACTAACTATCTGGACTCGTGGGACCCTATAGGAAGACGTACTGAAAATCATGTGTATTTTGAACGCAACACCCATCTTCCAAATCAAAAAGAAAAAAATGGGCTCGTTTGAAATAAAGGTGGACAACGACTCTTAATTTATATTCCATTTAAAAAAAAAAAATTAGGTATAATTTATACTATATAGTCATAAATTTAACATAAAAATCACATGTCATTAATATTAATTAATTTTTAAATTCTAGATAGATATAAAATTGACATAAAAATCATACGTCATTAATATTAATTAATTGATAAATTATAGTTCGAGTTTAATTCAACTATTAGATTATATATATATATATATATATATTTTGTTAAAAAGTTTTTTATTCAAATCTTTAGCCCATATATTTTATTTATAAATATTTGTTAGTATTTTAATCGATATAAAAAATATTAATTAATTCATAAATTTTAATTTTTAATTCTATTAAATTATATATTTATTTATTTATTATTATTTTTATAAATAACTTTCATTGTTTTAATTGATATGAAAATTCCATTATTAGATGGGCAAACAAAATTTGTAATAAAAAAAATATATAAAGATTAAAATAATAAATTTGATTATTGAAATTAATTAGTTATTTTTAACAAAAAAAAAAAGAAAAGAGAGGCAACGGTTTTTCGTTGGTTGGTTAGTTGGTCGGTCAAAGGTCTGACGTGGATCGATTTTCAACCTTTTGTCGTCATTCGTAGTTTGAGGAGGGGGAGGCAGTTCCATCTCCCTCCATTTTCCAGCATTTAATCCTCGATTTCCATAATCCAAACAACTTGGAGCCCTTCCGATTTCGTTTTCACCTCGCCTTCTTCCTTGCTTCACGTAGATTTCCGATCAAAACCACCGCTAATTTTCCCGCCGGCGGGAGTTCTAGGGATGGAGGCATTGCCGTTGCAAAAGGCGGGAAGCGAGAGCGAGGTGTCGGGGCATAGTTTTAGCGGCGGCGGAGGAGGAGGAGGACCGGAGGAGAGGGGTTCGTCTGAGTATTTCGGTTGGGTGTATCATATTGGATTTAATTCTATAGGGCATGAGTATTGCCATCTCCGATTTCTCTTTATTCGTCGTAAATACGTTGAGTTGTATAAGCGCGATCCTCATGAGAATCCCGGCATTGTAAGCCTCTTCTTTCCATTTCTCTCTTTAATTTTTTCTTCTTAATGTTAGGTTGGATGAATGTGCCTGCGAGTGATTATTCTATTCTGTTCTATTGGGTTTAAGCTAATTGTATGAAATGGTGTACTCTGTTTTAGAAACCTATTAGGAGGGGTGTTGTCGGGCCATCGCTCATGGTCGAAGAGCTGGGACGTCGAAAAGTTAACCATGGGGTAAGGGAATGGTATATCTGTTATCATTTTCATTGTATAAGATTGTTTGATGATCTCATTGTATCATTATATTCAAATCTTGATGATCTATGGAAGATAATGGGAGCTAAACATTGGTGATTGTGTTTGTTATTGCAGGATGTTTATGTATTACGAATTTATAATCGACTGGATGATTCTAAGAAAGGAGAAGTAAGTGATAGTTTCGTTCGAACTTATCTTCATTATCATCGTGTTTGAAATATAACTATCCTTACTACTATTTTGTTTTTGGCATCATTTTACGCTTTTCCCCCCTTGTGAATTGGATCACATAAAGAAACTTCTCTATATTTCATGTCTTAAAAGGGAATTTCCAACCAAAAAAGTTTTGTCATGCGGTGAGATCCCACATTGGTTGGAGAGGAGAACGAAGCATTCCTTACAAGGGAGTGAAAACCTCTCCCTAATGAACGAAATTTAAAACCTTGAGGGGATGCCTAGAAGGAAAAGCCCGAAAAGGACAATATTTGCTAGCAGTGTGCTTGGACGGTTACAAATGGTATCAGAGCCAGACACCAAACGCTAGGCCCCCAAGGGGGGTGGATTGTGAGATCCTACATTGGTTGGAGAGGAGAACAAAACATTCGTTATAAGGGAGTGGAAACCTCTCCCTAGTAGACGCGTTTTAAAACCTTGAGGGGAAGCTCACA